TGTCAAACTTCAGCATACATCAGAATCACCTGCGGCGTTCTTAAAACAGACTGCTGGGCCCCTACTCCCAGAATTCCTGATTCACGTCTGGGGTCAGGCACCCAAATTTGCACTTCTAGCAAGTTTCCAGTAATGCTAATGCCATTGGCTCAGGGACCACACCTCTGAGAACTTTTGGTCCATCTCCTAAGACCCTTATGCAGAGTGTAATGAGGACGGTAAAAGTTAACACCTCGGGTGGTTAGAGCTGCCACAGAACAGGCACTAATGTTCACCAGCCGATATCACCAGTTAGGACTGGGTTCCCTGCGGCGGAAAGGAGTGAGCACATCATTCAACAAGAGGTCCTGAGGTAAAGCACCCAGGGCTGACCCCACTGGCCAAGAATGTCATGACGTTCCCGGGCACCTTCTGTCTTCTTGCTTACCTGTCTTTGTCCTGTGGCTTTCGGCATCACAGACGCATGACGGCCGCCATTCCTCCAGGAGTCTTGTCTGCGGTCCAGACAGGAAGAGAGAAGAGCAAAGAAGTTCAGGGTAAGGAGCTGATGGAGCATGCCAGCCAAGTCACCCTCCACCTTTTATAAAGACTATTTTTTTAGAGAAGTCACTGCCTTTAAAAACAGGTTTCTAGACGCCCCTCACAAGTGATTTTCACTTGAATCTCAATGGTCAGACCCAGGTCCCATGCCAACCACTCCAACTACAAGGGAGTCAGGGAAGAATTTTTGGCTTTCTAGCTACTATGGTACAGGAAACCAAAGGAGAAAGGGATTTGGATAGAAATATACAGCATCAGCATGTAGACATCAGCCCCTGGTTATTAATCCAACTTCCAGCCCCTCTCCCCTTGCTGGAGGTCAGAGGGGGTAGAGCTGAAAGTTCTAATCCTCTAATCTCAAAATTGGTTCCTAAGCCTATTTTAAGTTACTAGGAGCATGTCAAAAAAAAAAAAATCACTTTATTAACATAAACTCAGGTGTGGTTGAAAGGGGTTTGTCATGAATAAGAGAAAATATTCTTTTCACATTTATCACTCTAAAGATACTTCAGGAACCAAAGGGTAAACACCAAATATTTTAGCAAAAGATGCCCCTCTTACTCTAGTCTCTTAGGAAACTACAAAGATTTTGGGACCTACGAGCCAAGAACCATGGATAAAGACCAAAATATATATTTATTATATTATCATAATAAATAGTTTATTCATACATACACAAGCTATTACTAAGATGGAAATCTCTAAGATACAGTGTTAAGTGGAGAAAATAAGTGTAGTATGCCACTTAACATACAAGAAAGAGTGCAAATAAGAACACAATTTGTGTTTAATTGTATTTTCACAAAGGAATTCTGGAGAGACAGCTAAAAACACTAATAAAAATGGTTACCTGTTTGCTGTGGTGGAAAGGGAGCAGGGTGGACGGGAGGTCGGTCGGGAGTGAGACTTTACTGTGTACCTTCTTCAGTATTTTGATTTTGAACCACATAAATATATAATGTTTTTTAAAAAGTAAATATATAATAAAGACGTTTTAAAACTTGAGAGACTATAGCAGAAGCACCTCATTGGCTTAAAAGTAAACAACACAGGCCCTGATGTCATACACACATGGATTCAAACCCTTGGTTCTGCCACTTACTAGCTATGTGATCTTGACCTATTTACCAAGTTAAACTCTCTGAGCCCCAGCTTTACACGGTGCAAACGCATCTCTCATTCAGGATTGTGAGGATTAACCACAAAATATTTGCGAAGCCGTTTAGTAGTAGCTGCCATAGGATTCCTCCATGGCAGGAAGTAGTTCCCATAACTACTGCAACAGAGCAAAGATCTTTTGAAGGATTTTTCAAATCACTGGAGCTTTTAAGAGCCTCACTGATTTTTCACCCTAAGCCCTGATAGAAAAGACATTAAAATTTTATCACTGAGCTTTTAGCAGTGCCAGAAAATGCTTACATGGACTCTCTTTTTGCTGAAGAAAAACCTGCTTAAACAGAAAAATACCTCGGAGTTCTTCATCTTAAATAAAGATAGAATTCTTCCCCCCTGCTCATTCCTTGTACTATGGTGCTGGCAAATTTCACTCGGCGAACCACACACACGACTTAAGTGCTGGTTAAGCCACAAGGCCTCGACTAGACACGGTGTCAAAGAACTGTGTCTGCCCAGAAGGAAGGCCGAGACACACCTCTGGGATCTGACTGGAGCCCGGTGGTTATCGTCACCCTCTGCACATTAACACTGCTCCAGAACTTTAATCTCTAATGACTTCAAGGTAGAGGCAGGCTGTTGAGGTCGATGGACTGCTATCATCTGATGACCCCGTCCCCCCGCCCCGGCTCATGACATTACACATCTCACACTGACCTGATGCCCAGAATTATCAGTGCACTCAACACAGTCACAACGCTTCTGCCTTCCAGAGAATGGTTTTGCAGAAGATGCTGTCAGCCTGAGCAGTAAACTCCCGCACCTGCCGCCCAGCACCTGAGCCCGAGCAGTAAACCCCCGCACCTGCCGCCCAGCACCTGAGCCCGAGCAGTAAACCCCCGCACCTGCCGCCCAGCACCTGAGCCCCTCCGTGCGTCCCCCACCCCCAACCACACGCACAAATAGGGACGTCCTACCGTCCGCAAGGCCAGGCTGCTCCGGGTGCATCTCACTGGTGGGGAGCGGCCAGGCCAGTGCCATCTGCTCCCGGGCCCAAGGACTCTGCACAGTCATCCACTCCGTTCCCTCCCGAAGGCCGAGGAGAAGCGACTACTGCTTTCCCCTCCGCCGGGCGCCTCCTAAGCCAGCCTGTGTGCCGCGGGGGCAGCTCCGGTCGCAGACCTACGTTTCTGGACACGTCCCCCCACGTCCCGCCTTCGTCAGGTGGCAGGCTCCGAAGCCTGGCCCTTCTCGAGCCGCCTCAGAGCCCATGGCGGTCCTGTGGGGCCTCCGGGCTCGCGGAGCGGTTTCCCACTCCGCCGGAGCTCCGCGCGAACACCGCGAGCACAGCGACCGCTCGCGTCCACATCCGGACGCTCGGCCTCCCGCCGCGGGCGTCATTTCCGGTCCGCTCTAGGAACCTGGAGGTTTCTGCGCCTCGGTGGTCGGTTCGCGATGGGACTCCTCCCCCCGGGTCTCTCCTGGGCCTGCCTCCGAAATGGGCCGGGAGGGGTTCGGGTTTGACCGAGAATAGTATAATGAGCCCGATAGCCATATCTAACACTTCCAGTAATTATCAACTCATGCAGTTTTATTCATGTATAACCCCAGCCCTCATTCCCCTCGTTTACACGTTGAAGTAAATCTCAGACCTGAATCATCCACAACTTCAGCTCCGCCTGGGGTAGGGTAAGGCGAGTGAGTTACCTGCCTTGGGCACAAAACTGAGAAGGCTTAACCAAAAAGCTTAGCAAACGAAATAATATTTTAAAGCGATATTTTAAAAAAATAAAAATCAATGCAAAAGATCCATAATGAATACAATATCCAAGCTTTTAGTAGGGAATCAGTATTACTGATTTTTCCTTTGCCTCAGGCTCCAGTATAACGGGCACAGGACTAATATTTAAGTATGTATCTCTAAAAGATAAGGAAAAAATATAAATAAACAAAAATAAAAGGTAAGGACTTGAAAAAACATAATCACAATACAATGATCACATCTAAAAATAAAGTCAAGTATTCAATTATTGTTCAAATTTTGCCACTTGTTTTATATATTTTATAAATGGGTTCTATAATATATTACAATTATATGTAGATATAATAATATTCTGTATAATAATAGAATATATTACAAAAAGCATATATATATAGATTACACATATACTCTTTTAAAAACAAGCCTTTGAACATATGTCTCTCAAGTTCTTTGAATCTATAGTTTTTCTCTCTCTTTTTATTTGTAGAAGAAACTTGAGGTTTTCCACGGTCTGGATTTTGTTTCCTGGGGACTTTTAAGAAGGCACACAGCAGAAAACCAGTCTCTCACTCCAGTGGAGAGGAGCAAAAATAGTCTTTCCTTCTGCCCTTCTAAGTTCTCGATGTGAGCCCCCATAACAAAAGACGAATTAACAGAAAAACACACAACTTTATTTAATGTGTTTTATGTAACACGGGATCCCTCCATAAGGAAATGACCCAAAGAAGCAGATAGAGTTGCATGTGCATATACTGAATTGGACAAAGGGCAGTAAAATCAGGAAAATGTGATGAGGCAATGGGGCTGGGGCTAGGATAATTAATTGGGTGAAGTGACTAGGAAGATTGGGGTTAATTTAATAAGATTTCCCTGAGCCTCAACTTTCTATCCTTGAGAATTAGAATGTGACTCTTCTCCTGGTATAAAGAAGACATCTTTCACATGGGAATTTTATCTCCTACTTTTAAGAATAAGAAGAAAGTTTGGAGTGGTTTTCTTGTATTTAATGCTTTTCAAAAGCCCTTAGCTCAAAGTGATCATTGTGTCAAAGTGTCATATTTTGGGCTGGCATATTCCGCCACCCTTCACCAGCTTCCTCCTTATTTCCTAATGACAAAGCCCACAAATCAGCCAATCTGTCTCACAAAAGCAGAATTTTCAGCTGGACTGCCTGAAGCTAGAGATCGTTCCGAGACTAAAATGGGCATGGGAGGCCAGAGCACCAGACCCTTTTCCTTGACAGCCTCCTTCAGCCACACGGGTCATCTATCTCTACAGTACTGTGTTCACTTGGTTTTAGGGCCTTTGCAGTTCCTATACTGATGCAGAGGAAGAATTTTCTCTACCCTTCAAGTTTCTTCTAGCTGGTCTAAGAATTAAATTTACGTGAGACTGATTAACAGGAGGAAAAAACCCAAACTTTCATTATGTACACATGGGGGGGGTCAATAATGAGCAAAATTAAAAGCTTCCTTCCACAAGGAAATAAATATTTGTTAAAATTGTACATAATTTCTTTTGATGATTGAGCACTTTGGGAGTCCATATTCAAGCCTCTAAATGTGATATGGCTTAAGAAAAAAAGTGCTTTGTTCACATTAGAGAAAATTAAGGATATAATTTCCACTACCTCCTTCCCTGAGTTGGAAAAGCCTACAACTTTGTACAATGTTGAGAGGTTTCCAGATTCAACTTCTGGCTGGCAGGACCAACTCATTTGAAAATAAGCTTTAATTTTGGTGGCGTACAAAGTAGAAAGTGCAATTAGAAATACTCAAGATACACTAAGAAAAAAGTGCAGACGCAAAACAATGAGTAAATGATTATCTTTTGTGTGAAAAAGAAGAAAAATAATAATCAATATAAATATTTACGTATACATGCCCAAGGAAAACCAGTAAGGATAAAATGAAAAGTTATGGACAGAGTTTACCTAGAAAGTGATTTTGAGATGTGGGCTAAGAATAAGGGTGAAAAGGAAACATCTCTTTATCTTTTTAAAGTTTCTTTTTGAAACACAAAGATGTTGGTTATTCTTACTATTAAAGTTTTGGGAGATTTTTTTTTTCTCATTTTTTAGCCTTTTTTCTTTAAACTGAACTGGGAAATGCAGAATGACCCAGAAGGAGTGATATAAAGGGTGATTCCACAACTAGTTAATTCAGGGATTCCCCCCCTCCCCCTTCCAAAAACAGTTTCTTCACAGGAAAACAAAGCAAGGCCAACGCCGTCTGTTGTTGTCTCTGGTCTTTGCTGTGTGCTCGTCAGATGCAGGAGTGCCTGGAACCGAGGCTAGTACTCAGCTGCGTCCACCTGAAGACCAGATATCGCAGCAAACCGGCTCACGAATGTGTTCACTTCGCAAGGCCAGGGGTCTGCCATTACTCCCCACGCGCAACGCAAAAGCGCCACGCAGCTTGGCCCGTACGGGGATCGAACCCGCGACCTTGGCGTTATTAGCACCACGCTCTAACCAACTGAGCTAACCGGCCAGGATGTTTCTTTCTATTTCTAAACAACACTGAAATAGCTTGCTTGCTTTTTCTTTTTCTTTCCTTCTTTCTTTTTCTTTCTCTTTCTTTTTCTTTCTCTTTCTTTCTTTCTTTCTTCTTTCTTTCTTTCTTCTTTCTTTCTTCTTTCTTTCTTTCTTCTTTCTTTCTTTCTTACCTATCTATTTAGTTACTTATTTTAAGATTTTATTTATTTGACAGAGCAAGAGAGGGAACACAAGCAGGCGGAGTGGGAGAGGGAGAAGCAGGCTTCCCGCCGAGCGGGAAGCCCAACGCGGGGCTGAAACAGCATTCCTATCTTGAGGTTTACCTTGAGAAAAAGAGAGACTTGTGCCCACTCTTTGCGTCCTTCCCCTCTCGAGGGGCAGAGGGGGGAGAAGGGAGGGGAAAAGTTCCATATTCCGCTTCAAGGCATCACGCTTCTTCCAGGAAAACCTGAGAAGATTCAGGCCAACGTCCGGCAGCGGGACCAAGTGGCTCCCGACTCCTGCGGCCTGTTCGCAGCAGGCCAGCTCCGCCCGGACCCCCGGGACCCGGGACCCGCAGCCCCCGCCGCCCCCCTAGTCCGCCCGGAGGGTCGCCGTTGTGGAGCTGCAGTGCGGCTCACCGGACGCGCGGTGGCGCCCGAGTGCGGGGCTGGCTTAGGCGCGGGCACCGGAACCGGGGTGGTCTCCGAAGAGCTTCTGACCCCGCCGGGACCCCCCAAACCAGGACGAGGGCTGTGGGAGGCAGGGCGTGTCCAGAATCAGGGCCGTTATCTGGCCTGGGAGAAACGCCGGGACTGACCCGGGTCGGGAGGCTCAGGAGGACGGCGGGAAACCTCCTCGGAGGTGCGCCCTCTCCAGCCGACGCCCTACGCACCTGCCGGCAGGTGCGCGCCCAGGGAGCGGCCGACGGAGCCGCCGAGTCCTCTCATCCTCTGCTCTCGCTGCCGCGTTCTGCTTCTCCTCTTCCCACCATGGCTCTTTCTGAGCTAGGGGTACTAGTATTTTCAGAAGCTTATCGGTCTGTGTACATTCTAAAAACCTTTACCCTCCATTTGTAAGAACATACGTGCACATCTGTGTATTATATGGTCTTCTTCTGGATACGCACTATAGTCTGTAAGATGTTTAGTACTTGATATTCCCGTTTTTTACCAGAAATGAGAATCATATTCTTTGACTAGCTAAATTTCCCATTTAGTTTCTAACCTCCCATTCCAGGTACTTGCTTCTAATATCATAAATTATTCTTCTGGTCCTTGAGCACGTTTTAACTAACTTTATACATCTTTTGAACCAATTAGTAGATATCTTCATATTTTTTTTGTTCTGTGGCAACAGTTCTGTAAGTTTGTAGGGTAGAATATTAATATTACTACCATTCTTGTTGTACCAGGGCACTTGCTGTGGTAAATGATTTCTGAGCCTGGGCCACATTCAGACTTACTTTGACCTCTAGAGCTCGAAGGAGGCATCAGTCACTTGCCTTTGGTCAGGTTGTGTGCACTTTTATTGGGAATGCTCTTAGAATCAGCAAATAAGAGAGGGTAAGGGAAGCGGGGTCGGGAAGAGGCAGAAGTTGAGCTTGATGTAGTTTAACAGAGGCCTCACTGTTCTCTCAGGGGTCTTTGATCATGGAATGGCCCTTCAAAAATGTCCTGCGTTGAGTCCAACAGGAGGAGGGGAGGCCTTTATACTCTTCCATCAACCAGTCTTGGATGTGAGCACCCCCAATGGTGGGTGTAAATTTGAGCAAGTTGCCTCTTCTGTTGAGGACAGTTCCCAGAGACCAACCCAGTCGTGAGCCATCGGCAGTCAACATTTCTGAAGTTGAGAAATGAGTGCCACCATCCTTAAGCGCCATCGTATCCTCACAGTTCTTTTGGCAACAGTGTGTCAGACACCTGTTGATTTTGACCAGTAGCATGTACTTTTCCACACTAATAGAGGAGAGCACAGGTGTGGTTAAAACAAAATGGTGGTTAGTATAAAGTCAATTCATTTTCCTTTTGGGTTCAACAAAGGGCTCTGTCCCTGCCACCAGAGTTTATAGTCTAGTGAATCTAAGAGTGTCCACATTGAAACACTGATCCAAGAAGAGACAGTCATCTCAATCCAGTCCCTATGTTCATCCTTCAAAAGAATATTCTTCTTCGGTTTTGACTGAGACAATGTCTATTCTTTTTTGTTTTTGAAACATCTGGTAAACTAGTTACTAAGTTTGTTACAGTTGAAGTGTGTGAAATCATACTCAAATAAGATGCAGTTGGAGGGGTTACTATATGTGGCTCCGTGGCTTAGCTGGTTAAAGCACCTGTCTAGTAAACAGGAGATCCTGGGTTCGAATCCCAGCGGGGCCTGTTCTCCTGCTTTCTTCCTGGCTTTTGTGATTTAACCTCCTATGTTTTCTCTAGGTGAGTAGGAACCAACTTGAATTTACTTTGGATGAATCTTGTAATACTCAGGCCCTTGAGAAGCATTCCCAACACATATATCAAGAGTAATTTAAGGACTCAGAATATTTGTCCTAGTCATGATATTTGCAGTAAGTGAGTAGCCTAGATGAGGTTTGCCCCTTTGTCCTACCATTTGAGATCAAGTGACGGAGACTCAACCACTTTAAGAACATGCCCTTCTAGTTATTCTTTGTATTACTAAGAAAGGATTAATTTCTTGTTGATTGCTGAGCATCTGGGAATGCAAAGATGTTAGAGGACTATTTTTTAAAATTCCTTAAAGTGAATTTGAATCTAACAGATGACATCATGTAACTCCGGAAGCACTGAGTGGTTAACAGTACTAAATGATAAAAGGTGGCTACTCTGTAAGACAGTTTTAACCATGTCCTGGACATTCACAATTGTGTCTTTGCTGAAGGGAGTTCTCTGTAATGGAAACACTATTTCTTTCCTGACACAAGTTATTCTTTATTCAAACCACCTCCCCTATTAAATGTTCCCTGGCTTGGGATCCTCAGACAGACAGCTCCTCTTCTGTGCTATTAGAGTAGGCGTGCTGTTGTTTTGACCAGCTGTGTGGTTCTTTCTTCTTCATGTCTCGCTATTCATTGGTGAAGTTGGGCATTGGATAGTTTGATGAATTCACCTGAGTGAAATGTCCGTTTAAAGGCAAGGGGGTTGGGGGATGGGTTAGCCGGGTGACGGGTATTAAAGAGGGCACGTTCTGCCTGGAGCACTGGGTGTTCTGCACAAACAATGAATCATGGAACACTACATCAAAAACTAATGATGTAATGTATGGTGATTAACATAACAATAAAAAATTTTTTAAAAAGTGAAAGGTAAAGCATGGCCATGATGAGAAATGTCAGGGAAAGGGAAATGGTTAGGAAGTATGTCCACTTGGTGTCTAACCAGGAAACTTTAGGTTTGAAACAAATGTGATAATGACCACACTGTGGATAACTACTTCCGGAAATCATTACTCTGCAGACTCAGCTGAGATCTTCTGGATTCATCTGTCCCTGTTACCTGTTATCACAATTTCTTCTCTGTACTGGGATTGTTTAATGCTGAATCTGTGTCTACAATTCCATATACACAGCACATCAAACTTAGGAGTGTCAAACACTCTTAGATGGTTAAGTTTTAAGTTCTTGAGTCTTGTACCTACACCATGATTGCAACTGGAAGAATCTCAAGCATCTTGGTGCTTTCCAGGGCTGATGTTCACGTTTTGACTCATTGCAGAGTCTCTGGAGTTGATCCTTCATCCCTCAGAATTTCTTCATCAACTCTAAATCTCTTGATTGCCTACCTGGAGCTAATCTCCCCAAATATCCACATCTAAGACAGATCTCTCCCTAGCTTCAAACTCATATTTCAATCGAATATTAATATTACTACCATTCTTGTTGTACCAGTTAACACAGTGCACCATAAACTCAACTGACATCAATCCCATTGCAAACATGTGGTTACCTTTGATTCCTCCCACCATCAAATCATCACAAAGTCTATTGACTTTGCCTTCAACATGAGTAAGATGTCTTTCCCTTCTGTCCTGCTGTTGGTCTCTATTTGGGTCTTGAATATCTCTTCTTGACCATAATCTATAATAGCCTCCTCTTGTTCCCC